TTACTGGTGGCGCCATCTATTGACAATGTATAATAAAAAAAGTAAAAATTCTTCCTTATCACTCATTATTTCCATAATAATAATTATTCTTTGTCCCAAACTTCAGGTAACTTTTAAACAATTCGAAGTCTTTTTTATAGTTATCAAAATAATTGTTTTACGCAAAATTGACGTGTCTCGTAATACCTGGTGTAAAACCTCCATTGTTAAGAGAGAAAAGGAAAAGACATAAGACGGTTCAAGTTCAAATAATAGAAAAAAAAATTAAAGGACAAAATACGATCGAAATTTTTTAAGTGGGGGATAGGTTGAATGATGGTCAATTCAAATTCCTTTCAAAGTGCTTCAAGCCCTTTTAAAGTGCTTCAAGCTCCCAAAAGTGCTTCAAGTCCTCTTAAAGTGCTTCAAGCCCTTTCAAAGGGCTTCAAGCTCCCAAAAGTGCTTCAAGCCCTCTAAAAGTAATTGAAGCTCATTGAAAGGGCTTGAATTACTTTTTTCAATTACAAATTACCAAGCACTTTTCTAAAGTAATTGACTTTGCAAGCCCCAATTACAAATCTATAAAAAGGCTTGAAGCACAGGGCGTTCAAGTCCTCCAAGTGCTTCAAGCACTTTCGCAAGCACAAAGCACTCAAGCCCTGCCCAGCTCTGCTTCTCTACATAAGAAATTTGAAAGCATCGACAATTTAACATTGTTTTGCCAACATAATGTCATTTTTCTACAAACGTCACTAAAAGTGTCATTTTTAACGGATGCTGTCAGTGTCTAAAATGCCATTTTATGACACTGGTGTTAAAAGTGATTACTTTTAGCACTAGTGCTAAAAGTAATCACTTTTAGTGCGTTTGTAGAAAAAATAGTGTACCTATGATATTCGTGCTAAAAGTGATTTTATTTTGTTCAAAGGAATGGAACTAACCCAAACTTCCCTTTTCACAAAATAAAATGTCACTTTTAGCACTTCATATCATAAATCATATCATAAATAACTATTTGACTTTTATCATTAAAAAAAAACAGACTTTAAAAATTCCGCATTCCGCTTTTACCCTTTGCGAACGAAAATAGAAAATTTCCTCAAAAAGGCAAAAAGGATATAATTCCGTCAAGCTGGCAACATTGTGACTAACTCGTTATCAAACGCAAGGATATCAACAAAGCATTTTGATAGGTTGGATATAAGCCTCGCCCCTTTCCAATCAGATGCGTGTGATATCAGCAGGGCATTTAATTGGTTAGTTGAGCCCCGCCCCTTTCCGGGATTTATGTATTGTCAAGGTATTTGATTGGTTGTTTCCTTTTCAACCCTTTCCAATGGTCCCGGCCGCCGGCCGGCCCACCTACAGTGACTTAACATTTTCAAATAGAAATTCAGTACCGCCGCCATATTTTTGCAAACTTTTTGATGTTTACTCAGGTATTATTATTAATATTATAAAAGTATATATTTATTTTTCAATTTTTCCATCTCATATTTTGTCTATTCCCGGATCTTGAATTTTCGTTTTCTTCTTAATTTTTCTAATGGCCATTTCCACCAACTATTTTAAGGAACCCCTAACAATAGAGCCGTTTTCTCGCGTCCACTTTTTTCAAAACAGCGTTGCCAGAGCTAGTACAATTGTACTAATCTAATACATTTTGGGTCTTTTTATACAAAAATACAATTTGATAATTTCTAGTACATTTTCATGGCATAAAAAATTTCTTACTTACTGATATTGTAAAATCATGACTGGTAAACTTAAAAACAAAAATCGACCAATCGACTGTGATATCAGCCCAATTCTATTCTGGTGTAATTTCACCCGGGATTCGTGAACGATTTACCCTGGCGCTGGAGCGCGCACGGGCGATAATTGTGGATGCAGCCTTGGAGTTCGTTCGAAATCGAAATCAACCTGGCGTCACACAGAGTGCACACCACAAATAAAATTCATGGCTGGTGTGCAGTCGGTGTGACGCCCACGCCCAAGGTGATTTCGAACGCAACCCTGGTATTTATTTGATTGACATTGACAATACCTATGCGCGGATGCGCGCTTCGCCACGTGTTTTGGGGAATCCCCGTTCTCCCGAATAAGAAGCGTTGAAGGTTGAAGTTGTGTTTTTATTTTTAATAGTGGTTCCGTGGTTTATTTGAATATTTTAAAATATGGATAGGTGAGTCTGAAATATAACGATATTTTTTATAATAACCGGTGGGGTAGGGGATCGAAATGTGTAAACATTTGCTCATTTGTCTATAATATTTTGTCTTTGCCTCACAGTAGTGCGTCTGCGGAGAGAATTTTTTCCCATTTAAATCTAATTAAAAGTAAAGTTCGTAATCGCTTGTTACCAGAGACGTGCAATTCATTATTAATGGCAAAAACTTTATTGGAAAATAATACATGTTTCCAATGGAAACCGGGAAAATCCCTATTAAATAAACCGATTATTTATGAATAGCCCATTTTGTTTCAGTTTTTTGCTGCCCTCAAATATGTATAATATTCAATATTTTCAAGAATCCGTTTCTTTTTCAAATTCAGAATTCAGAAGTTGTTTATATTTTTGCCTTAAAAAACTATTTAGTTTTCCCTAATTTTTAGAGTCATTTATGTTTCTTTTTTTTTTTTTTTTTGGAAAATACATTTTTATTTTTTAGTTTGTATTTCTCTCTGTGTTTGATAAAAATAAAGACTCTGAAAGTTTAACATGGCTTTTTATGTTTTAGTACAAAAAGTTGAAATTCAGTACATTTTGCACTGACGTTCTGATACAATTTAAAAAATAGTCCTGGCAACGCTGTTTCAAAACAGGTTTAAAACGGACAATGGTAACACCATTGCCGTTTCAAAAAATGTTTCGAACCAATGTCAAAAAAGTGGCCGCGAGAAAACGGCTAAAGCCTAGTACTCATAACTGCGAAATTCGCATTTATTGACATTACATCGACAATTTGACGTTTGATACACGCATAAAACGTCAAATTGTCAATGCAATGTCAAAAAATGCGAATTTCGCAGTTATGAGTACTAGGCTTTAGATACGCCTAAAACTGACATTTCTCCATGTAAAAATGTCATTCTAGGGAATACTTATCGTTAGGGCTCCCCTAAAATAGTTGAGGTTTATAATGCGTGAGGTAAATAATGACTTTCTCTTCTCTACCGAGGAATATATACATTATTTTTTACTACTCTAGTGGAAAATTAATAATTTGTAATCTGTGCTCTAAATATTTTTTTTGAACGCCCTCTTGAAAGTGGTGCCCTCTATCAACAGCTTATGATAATTTCCTATGTACCTACAGAAACCTGTATTTTGTAGCCCCCGATTTGCAGAGAACAAAGATGCGTGGTACGACAAACACTTTTCGAAAGGAATAAGCGCGTGAAGCCCCGGAGCTGTTTCAGAGCTCTTCCTAGGTGTGAAAGGAATACAACTTTTGAGCACGCAATCGAGCTTTTGCGCGCACAAATGCTTCAAGCGCGTATTCGTGTTTCAGCCGTACTGCGCTTCGAGAGCTTGCTAACTTTTGCGTTTCAAACACAGAACACTGTGCTGCACCGGGCTTGAAGCACACAGATGGAAAGCGGCTAAAAACATGACAATATCCTCGCATCATGACGTCATTTTCATTATTAACCTAGGTATTTTTTCATTATTTTCATTATTAATCTAGGGAGAGAAATTCAATTTTTTCCTAGAGAAATTGATTGAATAATGACTATTTCTCAGAGCCGTTTTCTCGCGATGGAACTGGTTGAACGCGGTTCAATTCGTTTCGAAACTGTACATTCTCGCGTTGAACCAGTGACGTCACATTGAACCTGGTTCAAAAAAGTTCGAACCGGACTCATGGCATGTTCCAAAAATAGACGCATGCGCTGTCGGTTTTGTTTGTTGTTGTTCCGTTGGATTTCTTCTTTTGTTTGAGAGTTTGAGGTTATAGTTGGTTGTTACCGTTGTCGGTTTAGTTTGAAATCTAACACTACTCAAATAATAAATGGTATTTATTAGTAATTAATAATTTCATCTAATACAACATATATACACTTGTGGACTGCTGACAAAGCCACATTAAATTTATGAGAAACCGACAAAAGAGTTTCTCCTTTTCCAAGCCACCACAAAGTCATCATGAGTTTTTTTTCTGGGGATATTGGCATTTCTCCTCCTACATATGGAATACTTAATCCCTGGTGAATTTGTTGCAATAAGCTATTAAAGGCAGCTCTGTGCACTCGGAAAAGCTGAATGAAATCGTACTCCAAGTACTCAGGGAGCCAATTTTGGCAATATGCATACGGTCGTATATGATGCTCGAAGGGGTCCAGGGATGCATAATTCAATAAATAAGCATCTTCTCTATTTATCCATTGCAGTAGAAATTGTTGTGCCAACGATGGTCTATTAATTAAAATTGTTAAAATGTCCATGATTCTTACTATGATAAGGGAACTAGTTCCTTTACTTTGGACAAAATCAAAAATAATATATTATTCAAAAAGAGATCACAGTCACTGAATACTCTACCCGTCCCGCCAAACTGAAAAAAAGTAGGGTTAGGCCATCATTCCTTTCCTTCGTTGACGTAAGGTTGTGGTTCAAACCTCTCATTTTCTCGCGTTGACACGTAATGACGTCATCTAGAAATTGGTTTAAACCGCGGTTCGAACCGTGTTCGAACCAATCGCCCCGCGAGAAAACGACTCAGGTTATTAGTAAAAAAAAAAATTGTGAACTCGAACGTTGTAAAGTCTGAACTGCTATTTTGAAACGGAGCCAATCAGCTGTTTGACATTTTTACTCTGACCGTTCCGGTCGTTCGTGTATTAATTTTTCACTCTAATCACTCCAAGAAGTGAGAAGTCCCAGATCACGTGTCAAAAATCTGTTCTTACTCCACTCCAACTCCGTGCTGAATAGCCGAACCTGTAGCCAAACCCAGCTCTGAATCTGAACGCGCAACTGACAGTTCCAAACAAACGGGTTCGGAATATTTCAGCGAACAAAGCTGTGAAAAAAATAAATTCCTGAATTGTTTAAAAACAAAACGAAAATATCTATTAAAGAAAAAATAATCTGCAACTAACTTTGGTTCAGTGTTTGCTAGTTTGTTTTCGTTCCCCGGTATTTAGTAAGTAAATATTATTGTTGCAAATTGGATAGTTGTTAGTTGTTGCTGTCCATACTTACCCACTGATCTCTACTTACCTCGATACTTACATTATTTTATCATTTCACAGAAGCAGTTCAGTGGATAGGTAATCATCAAGCATAAAAATGGTTTGTAAGGATACACTTCGAATAAAATACTTGCCAAAAGAACTCTCTGATGCACAGAAAGAAGATTTCGTTAAGCATTTTGGGGCCCACACCATCAAAATAATAACATCAAAAATGAAATCCCAATCTGTGGTCTACGCAAAGTTTGACAATGAAGATGTTGCGAAGAATGTTATCAGTAAATTGCACCAAATTGAGATATTAAATTGTATAATATGCGTGGAATATGCTGAATTTGACATACTAAAAGGATCAGTACCTACTCAGAAAAATGAAGATACAAAAGACAGCCACAAAAACAGTTATTTGAAAACATTCATTAATAACCTGAATGCTTTCAATGACTCTGTTAATTTTTATCAACCACCCCCTTCACATTTGAAGTATAATTACCCCAGACCAAATGAGGCAACATTAAGCAATATTGCCCATGCTTTGGCTGTCATTCCTCGTTTTTATACACAAGTTCTTCATTTAATGAACAGAATGAATCTTCCACCACCATTTGCTGATGCTTCTACAAACACAGTACCATATTATGCTCAAACTGCTCAACCTGTTGGTGAAAAGAGAAAGGCTTCATCATCTGAATCGGAAATGGAAAGTGATAATGAGAAAGTTGAGGAGATTATAACTCCAAAAAAAGTGATTGGCTCAAAAAAGATGATTAAACGGCCTAGATTAATTAAACCACCCCAAGTGAAGACTGTTAGCAATAAATCCATGGAAAAAACTGAAAATGTTTTTGAAAAGGTATCTTTTTTATTATTATTTAGGTACGGGGTCTGTTCCTTATAGTTAGTGCAGCTTCTACTATCTTAACCAAAAAGAAAGAAAATTGAGAAAAAGTTAAACAAAAGTATTTTTTTTTTTATAGTAGTTTTATCTCTATTATCTTTTGCAAATGTCAAAACGGGCAAATATCAGGTGCCAACTGTCAAAATGACAGACAGTTTAGCCGTTTTCACGCTATTTCAGTGTTTTAAAATGCATTTACATTACCCTTAAGTCTGTTCCCGGTTTCTTATATCAATGATGAGGCTTGCTCGATGCAATTTTAAAATTGAATAGCACAAAAACAGCTAAAACAAATATCAACATTTATGGTACATTTGGGATCAGAAGAAAAAAATCTATCATTCTAGCCAAAAATATACAGGGTGTTCCATTTGAAAAAATACCACTGGCACCTGTCATTTGTCAGTTTTGACATTTGCAAAAGATTATAGATATAAAACCCTAACTTTTTAATTTTTTTTTTGTTTAAGCTGTAGAAGCCACACTAATTATAAGGAACAGACCCTATACATATTTGTTTATTTATTACTCAGTTTGAAACATGGGGTAAACCACCTAAAAATTATTGTCACCAGCCTAGGAAAATATGTGGTGATATAGGAAAATATTAGGTATTATGGGCAAATATCAGGAAATACTTTGCAACATAGGAAAATATAAGGTATCGGGTCTTCAAAAAAAAAAACAATCGAAGATTGCTTTGAATACGAAAACGTATGTTGCATTATTGTTTCTTTATTGGTCAGGATTTTTGACATAACATTTTGACCTCGATTTTGACATTAATATTCATTGACAAAATTAAAGAAAAATATTGCTGAAACATACATTTTAAAAACCATAGCAATCTTTGATTGTTTTTTTTTTTTTTTTTGAAGACCTGATATTATCGCGGTATTATTAAGAAATATTGAGGGTATTAGTAGGAAATATCGAGGTATTATTAGGAAATATGGAAGAAATATCGTGGAATTATTAGCGCATCTTGCATAACGAGGGCACCCCCAATGCCAGTTTTGTAAATAAACTTTACTCAAGACTTTACTACTCGTAGTGTCACGGCTTGGTATTGCCTGACAGAAATCTTGGGTTTGTTTCGTTTATTCCAAAAATCAAAGTCCAATTAACACAGCAATAATTTATTCCAAGTAACAATACACTCTGACACTAATTACTTTAATAACTAACTCAACAATTAAACTCTTTACAAAAATAATCACTATTTAAATCGTATCACAGTCGAACTGAAACTTAAAACTACAAAGCAATAGCGTCCTTTATATATCCCCAAATCTATTCCTGTAAAATCTAGAATACACACGTTAATCCTATTTTCTCGATTAAAGTAGAATAATTCACTATAGATTCCAGGTTATTCGGCAGACTGGTGGATGCAAGGATTCTTGACACATTGGCGTACGCTCGTCACACTGCCCTCGTCTTAAGGTTGATCGTCCCGATCAACTTCGCGCCCCTAATATTTCGTCAATCTGTCCAAATGTACAACTTTCATCTTACTCCTGGTGTTGCGCTGGACTCGATAAACCAAATCATTGATCCTCTTGATTATTCTATAGGGTCCTTCCCATGCTGAAGACAACTTCGGCGATACTCCTTTCTTTCTAGCTGGGTTATACAGCCACACTAAATCACCTTCTTGAAATCCAGCTGAATTGGCTTTCAGGTCGTATCTGGTCTTCATCCGGTCACTGGCTAGTTGAATATGCTCCCGAGCAAAATCATGGATACCCAGAAGTCGTGCCCTTACTTCGTCGGCATAATCTCGGATTTCTCTTCGTTCTTCTCCAGGCGAGTCTTCAGGTATCCCGAACATCAGATCGCAAGGTAACCTGAGTTCTCCTGTTCACCTGTTGACTCGTGAACAGCTGCTCTGTAAGCCATTAAAAATAGAGGCAAATGCTTGTCCCGCTGGTTCCTTGCGACCACTTTTGTCAGGTGTTCCTCTATGGTAATCAACCATCCAAGGACTAGGGATGGCAAAATAAAAAAATATATCGATATATCAAATCATATGATATATCGAAATAACATATCGATACATTCGATATATCAAACAAAAAACATCGATATTTCGAACATATCGATATATATTTTATTTTTTTATTTTTTTCCACAAGCGTGCGAAAAGTGCTTTTTTTCTGCACGCATTTTAAGCCATGGAAATTAACTTTTCCGCACTAGTGGGAAGAAGCAAAATAATTATCCAATATTAGGTCACCCTGATATTTTCATGTCCTAAAATGCGTGCAGAAAAGTACTTTTTCTACTGACATTTCATAATATGCTATTAAACGATTAAAATCTGTATCATAATGAACTTACGATACAGATTTTCATTATAATACTCATTTTTAATATTATACAATGTTGATAGATGGCAGCACCAGTTAAGAAATTAAACATTTTAAACGGTAATTTTGCGTGAAACAATTATTTTGATGGCTATAAAAAAGACTTCGAATTGTTTGAAAGTTATCCAAAGTTTGGGACAAAGAATAATTATTATGGAAATAATGAGTGATAAAGGAAGAATTTTTACTTTTCTCATTACAATACATTGTCAATAGATGGCGCCACCAGTTAAAAAAATTTTGATTTTTTTTTTGAATCTTGACAGCACCTTGTTTATAGTTTTTCCATGGTAATGCAGCGAAAAACAATAATTTTATGAAAAAAAATACTTCAAATTGTTATTAAAAGCACAGAACATTAAAAGTTACCTGAGGTTTGGGATGAGGCATTATTATGGAAATATTGAGCATGCATGTGCAACTCTTATGGCGCAATTTGTTCCGCTAAAAGCTTGCGACTACAGACGGCAGAGGCGCTGTCGTCCAATGCTATTGTCAGATTTATACATAAAATGTACAGATTATTGTTTATTTGTTTTAAAAAGCTTCCAACAATGGAAAAAAACTCGTGTACCTCGCTAACATATACCTAATTGCCAGTGGTAAGATTTGAAATTATATTTCTTTTTCAAAACAAATTATATCCCATGCTTTTGACATGTGGCAGAGTCGCTTAACTTTTACTTTCTCATCATATTTTGACAAATTTTGACATATTCCATTTTTATTCAATAATTTGAATCAGAGATTGAAAATTTTCTCCTTTCAAAGCGAAATGGTTTTATCTTATTGTGTGGCAATGTAGGAAAGCTGAGGGAACAGAGTAAAAATGCATCAAATTGCCAGAAATGATGAGCCAGGTATGTTTCAATCCCTACATTATACCAAAATCGGGATTTTATCTCCTGTAATTTTACCACTGCAACTTTTCTTTCTATTTAGGTGTTCATTTTATGCCTGCAAAACGCCTACAATCAAAAAATCTTAATCATTGTAGGTAACTATTATTAATTGGATTGATATCATACTGTATAGTTAATAAAGTAATTCAAAATTGTTATTTTTGTATTTAATAAATGGATTAATTAGTATGTAACTCTTCGGTATGTGATCAAGAAGAGACTGTTTACCCAAGCTGTTTACCATAATTTTATTTTCACTAGAAACATTGAATTGTTTAGTGCTAGTGACAATAAAAAATGATAAACGGATCCTGAAGAAAAAAAATTAAATTTAAAAAGGAGCGCTTCCCGCGCTCTCAAATTGCTGACTACACACGCGAGAGGGCGCTGTAATCAGGAACAAAATGTTTGTATTGAGTTGCCTATCTATATTATAGGTTCGAGAGAGTTTTGTATCCCTTATCTATGATATTGAGTGATAACGAAGAATTTTCACTAACACCTCCAGAAATTACATAAAGGGCGACAAATGCAGGTAATATACTACTGGACAAGTCCAAGAAAAGTTACGAAATAGTTATCTGTGTACCAAGGCCGTAAAGTTGATCTTTTTTGGCCGAATCAGAAATTTGCGGCCGAGGCGTAGCCGAGGCCAAGCAAAATTCAGGTGAGGCCAAAAAAGATCATTCGGCCGAGGTGCACACAAAATTTTTTAGGCGAGTGTTTTTTCTTGAAAAAAGACGAAAATTCAACAGGAGCTTTAACTTTTTATTGATTAGATAAATAATCCAGCAAAGATAGGTAGATACATAATTATTAGTAACAAAAACTACAATAAAGGAAGTGTGATTATAGAAAATTGCCGACTTTTTCGCATGGTATCCTATATTGTGCTTTTTTGAAAAAGTAATAGGATAGGGCTAAAATCAAAAATTTGGTTCCATTGTGGTTGCTAACTATTTATTGGTTGTGTTTATAGTTACGGACCGCGTTTCCGATTGTCTGTTTATATATTTTCACCAAAGTATATAGCGGCCGTAAAGTAAAAGCGGCCGTAAAGTAAAAGCGGCCGTAAAGTAAAAGCGGCCGTGAAGTAAAAGCGGCCGTAAAGTAATAAAGCAAATGCGGCCGTGAAGTAAATGCGGCCGTAAAGTAAATGCGGCCAAAAAAGATATACTTTAGGGATGATATTGAATCCGTAAAACTAATCTTTTTGTGACAGTCGCCTAAAAAATTATATGGACAATTTATGCATTGGAGAAACACCAAAAACACATCGTCCTTCTCAGAAAATGTTTTAATATTATATTTTGAAGAATTACAACAAAAAATAAAACCTGCAACTGTATGGACGCATTACTCAATTATAAAAAATCTATTCAAAGTTAAGCATAATGTTGACATATCTAAAAATCATAGGTTTTATCAATGGCAGTAGAAAAAATAGTGTTTGCAACCCTCATGTAATGATCATTGCATAATATACTATTTCTGCACGATCGTTGAAAAATAACGTTCCTTATTAATCATGCGGAAAGTATCTTTTCCTCATGCAGTTATCAGTGGTTGGTACGTACACGCCCTAACTGACGTTTGTTTTATTCCGCTACTGTCAACTGTCAGACTGTCACAGTCAACAAATGAACTATGCGCACGAGCCAAGAATTATTTTAAAATTTCC